CGCACCCCTCTCTAAGTGCGTACCACCGATTTTAGCACATTGTGAAACGTCATATACGTCGTGTTCACGCCATTGTTGTGTGATTAARAAGTGGTTTTTGAGTCATTAAGTTATTATTAGCTAAAGGTAGCTAGGTTTATACGAGTATGTCGTTTAAGATGGTCGTTGTGCAAGGCTATAGTTGCTTAGCTCCGGTGGCTGTTGTTATCARTAAGTTGTACAAAGTTGTCATCGCGCGCGCGTCGTTGTAATAGCACGTGTTTGTCCTGCACCCTCTGTATTTGTTGATTGTATGCTAGTAGTTTTTGTCTTATAATGTTGTCGTTGCTTAGCGTTCTTCTTTGTAGTGAGTTTTCTACAATCAAYAGCCACCCTAGTGCTGGTTATTGTGTAAAGGTTGTCGTGTAGGTGGATGTCAGTAAAACCTTTTCGGATCAAAACCACATTTGTGTGATAGCCAATTGTTGTCCAATCCGTGTGGAGATTGGGCATTCCATGTTTTATCTCATAAATGTGTCTCGAATTGCGAGTTCAATTTGCAACCACAAACTATCATTTCATTTCGCAATGAAATATTCTACTTTAGAACTGGAAATTTCGGATATTCTTGCTTTTGGTGCTTGAATATACATTTGTAATGATAAAACTGCAGAAGTAAGGTAGGTATACCGGTAGCTGTGGACTGTTTTGTGTTAATTTGTACAGCTTAAATGTTAAAATTTTCTGTTTTGCCTTAATAGTTATACAAGCAAATTGAAAGCGTTATTTTTTCCTTGTTTTGCTTTGATCGAAGACGTTTGAATTCTAATTCATGAAAGATGGGTACTCTGGCGAATTGAAAACAAGAACAAACGATTTTTTAACGATCAAGATAACGAAAAAAAGTTAATTTCTTTTTTGTTGCATTAAATACAAACACATTTTAAGCAGTAAAAATTCGCATATGGTTTATTATGATTCAAACATCTGTAAAACAGAAGGTGAATAGTGTTGATACAAAAAACTCTATTCTTTGTTATAAAATAGTTTCTATTTTTGTTGTGAAGGAATGGAATGCAAAAAAGAATGTGGTCTCGACTGTAAACCACATTTTCATTTATTCATGAAATTCGTCCTTGTTCGACAGTGTTCAATGATTAAGAGCTTCATATTTTATTTTTGTCATCTTTTGTCTAACTCTAGATTATTTTTTTGTACGTTATCTYCAATCTTCAAGTTCCTTGAATCGTGTGTGTTTTATAAAGTGAATACAGTAACGATTAAGCTTGGCGAACGAACGAAAAGCAWTTCTTAATCAGTTTTAATAATAAATTAGAATGCCCTTGAAAACTTATTAGATGAGATTCGTGAAATGGTAAAAAGGCATGGAAAGATAGGTCGAATGGGCTTATAATGTTAAGTGGTGTGGTAGCTGGAATATTTYACTTTTCAATAAGTTTGCTTCAGGGCTAAGTCGGTGAAGTGGAATCGTTGTCTTGGCGCGATCTWTTTGTGATTCAGAGAGTGCGTATATAATCAAATACAGCAGACTTGTTTGCGAGAGGCTATTTACTTATCGTTTCCCTATCACGCTATTTCTTTGTTGTAAACAAACAAAAAACGCGATCCTGTGGCTCGATGCATTGTTGTGGAATGTAAGTGGAAAAGCGTGGGCGAAATCTTTTCAAGAAGTAGATTTTTTAAGGATATGAAAGGTTTCAAAAACCTAGGATTTCTTGTTAGATAGTAGTAGTATAAACTAGACGGAATGGTCCATCAGATATCTATCACTTTACTAATTGCCTAGATCATAGATGAGAAACTTACTTGGAAAAGAATATTTTCGGTTACCATGGTGATGAGTGGTTGTGATGTGTCGTGTTATCATCGTGTAACCATGAGAACAATGATTACCATCGATACGCAGTATCGTGTACGTTGTCTTGTGATAACAATAACAGAATGATTATGGTATCATGAAATATGCCGGATGTTGATCATGATAACACTGTCATCATTGTATCAGCCGATGCATGTCATGACAAGGTCGATGAGATTGACAGTTTTGTCATCATCACGATGACATTTTCACTCGTTACCTAGCTACTTCATCTTGAGAATCTCCATCTCTTAACGTAAGAACACRCGGTTTTTACATTGTGCTTAATTATCCAAGAGGTGGTCCATTTGACGTTTGACGGCTACTAATAAAAAAAATTGTAAATCAAGACCTAATGTCGCCTCACTTCTATTCAAGGGGACAACTAGCTATACCGTTCACGATGGCTCTGGGAAACTGCAATCTTGGACATAATTAATTAACAATTTTTTTCGCCTGGGCACATTACAAATACTGTATCGCATGCATCTACTAGAAACATTCCCCTTCAATCCCCATCTTTTTTTTGTGTATGTGTATGGGGGGGGGGAGGGGGGGGTCAGCGTGAAAGGTTTATCTACGAATAGTGGGAAATGTAGTGCGCACGTAAAAAACTGTCATCAATTATGTCAAAAATTGTAGAAGAGGGTCGCGTAATTGCCTTAAAAATGTATAATTCTTCCTTTGATGAGTTCACAATTTAATATAGCTCCCGGAACTGTAAAAAGGGCTCTTGGTCGTTCGGTCGTTTTCGATTTTATTGTTTGTTTATCAAGAAATAGTGTTTTCTCTTGACTGTTTTGGTTTGTTGTTACGTAAAGGTGATGCGTAAAGATGGACATACTAGTCATCACTATACTAAGCATAACATACCATAATTACTAAACTGTTTTGGTTTGTTGTTACGTAAAGGTGATGCGTAACGATGGATATACTAGTCATCACTATACTAAGCATAACATACCATAATTACTAAACTGTTTTGGTTTGTTGTTACGTAAAGGTGACGCGTAACGATGGATATACTAGTCATCACTATACTAAGCATTGTAGCTGGTATCCTGTTGGCGTCCATTGCTGCGTCTGGGATATACTACGTTCTGAGAACCAGGAACGACAAACGGCAAGGACATACACTCCGAGATGGAAAAAAGAAACTTGCTTTGCCACAAGACGACTCATACGTCATTTACCAGGACGAATCACTAGTTAATATAGAAAGGTAGATATTCTATGAGTCACNATGGATATACTAGTCATCACTATACTAAGCATAACATACCATAATTACTAAACTGTTTTGGTTTGTTGTTACGTAAAGGTGATGCGTAAAGATGGATATACTAGTCATCACTATACTAAGCATAACATACCATAATTACTAAACTGTTTTGGTTTGTTGTTACGTAAAGGTGATGCGTAAAGATGGATATACTAGTCATCACTATACTAAGCATAACATACCATAATTACTAAACTGTTTTGGTTTGTTGTTACGTAAAGGTGATGCGTAAAGATGGATATACTAGTCATCACTATACTAAGCATAACATACCATAATTACTAAACTGTTTTGGTTTGTTGTTACGTAAAGGTGACGCGTAACGATGGATATACTAGTCATCACTATACTAAGCATTGTAGCTGGTATCCTGTTGGCGTCCATTGCTGCGTCTGGGATATACTACGTTCTGAGAACCAGGAACGACAAACGGCAAGGACATACACTCCGAGATGGAAAAAAGAAACTTGCTTTGCCACAAGACGACTCATACGTCATTTACCAGGACGAATCACTAGTTAATATAGAAAGGTAGATATTCTATGAGTCACAAATGGTAATAGATAGATGTACGGAATCCACCCCTCTTAGTAGTTTTTTGTCACGCATTGTGAGAGAGTATAGAGTGACAGAGAGTTTTTTTACTACTGTAAAAGTACTAGTCTAAGGAAGAATAAATCGTTGAGAACCCTCAACCAGCTGATTCAATTCGTACAGTAGTACCGATGCGATTTTTACCTTAAGATGGGAGTGTCGGAAATTCTATGCATTTTGAAATGGAACGGAGGGAGAAACTGGCTTCTGAATTCAGTGAATTTTGCCTTGCTACCCATAGACCGATTCAMTAGACCACCGTCTCTTTGTTTTTACATAGTATTGCTGTCCAACCCGAGACACGTAGGCCAATCCTATCACCAGATGACGTATACCCACCCGTCAAAGAAGAAGAAACAGATGACTACTTGTTAGAGAGTTTAGAGATGGACTTTAGTGCTACTGGTGGTGTGCCCCCGGTAAGTAATATTGAATTATTGYCATGTAATGGAGACTCTTGGTCGAGGGGGACGGCATCATTCTCAATCTAATAGGTTTCATTTCTCGACTTTTTTGCACAGGATGAAATGGTGGAACGCAAAGGATCATTGGAGTTTTTGCTGCATTTCTATCAGCTAAGGTATAGAAGTTCTTGTGATAACTCCTTGGAGTAGGAAATCTATGATGAAAAATATGAAGAAAGAAAGAAAGAAATCCCATTCGAGAAGCAGGTCTTCGTTATGAACTTACCGTTACAATTAGGAACAATCTTTCAGTATATGGATTTGTAAATTAAAGCTTCACTTTTAGTTTTTCTTTGGTTTTGTTTGTTGTTTTTTTGTTTTGTTTTGCTTTTTCTGAGGAGATAAAATTCTATGTTCTTTCTTGTCCCCAGTGCCACTCTGACACTGACGCTGGTGCGCTTATCTGATTTACCGCGGAGAACTGATACSAATCACTCCCCCGACCCTCAAGTCGAACTCGAAGTYAAATATGGCCATGACAGCAAAGTGAAGTCAGAAATTTACCAAAATACTTCAAACCCACATATGTACGAGAGCTTTCGCTTTGAAATCCCTGTAAACGAGCTTGGTAGCCAGACCTTATGCTTTCGCGTGACGGATATGATGGAGACTGGGATTCCAGAGCCAAAACCCCCCACACCACCCCCACCAACCAAAGGAAGAAAGAAACAGCCTCCTCCACCTCCTTGGGTTCCACCACCTCCACCATCKCCTGCATTGATAGGTATCATTAGAAGTCCGTCATTAAGACTTTACTATATTAGTTTGATGACAACKGTATCTTGGTTATTGTATTCTGCTGAACAACATAACCATGTACCAATTCCACTTGTCTCATTTTTATACTTAAAACTATCGGACAGACATGGATTTCCGTAGCCTGGGTCACATCCGGACAAACTACGGTTACGTCCACCCACGCAGAGGCTAGGATTTCCACTGCAAGAAGAGAACTTTTAAAAGCATTAACAATTTTGAGGAGCCGACGTCAATCGGAAGTGAAATTTTACTCCCGGTTTTACTCCCGGTTTGCGCCTCGAAGTGCGAATGCGCGTACGTCAGAATGGCAGATTTCACGTCCGCGCGTACGATCTTCGAGGGCGCCAAAATTTTGGCCAAAACTGGAAGTAGACTTTAAAGTGCACGCGACGCCTCGGAGAAAATCATTTATGCGAAGAAGAAACACATCGATTTGAATGTCTATCGTCAGCATATATGCTCTGAAAACATGTTGGAAATGCAAATGGTAAAAGCAATTAAGAAGCGATTCCAAAAGCAAAATTACGAAAGAGAAAAATCATTCCTTTTGTTAYATGGGATATGATGTTTTTTGTTGTGAAATATTACTAAGCTTAATTGTGGTTTGACCAATTAAATCAACACGCAAACAATGAAGRAAGTCGCAATTTCWTAGCTGACGTCACTAAATTTGCATCTTTTYTTTYCGTTTCGTTTCGTTTTGCTTTTTTGTTTGCTTTGCTRTTGTAGATRTTGTTTTCTTTTTTAAAAGAAATGTTTAGTGGCAGCATGCTCCCTTTCGAGTGAGATTGATATAATTTCTAAAAGGCGTCATTTTCACTTAAAGCTAGACGACATAAGACTATACTTCACCTCATACGTTACTACACTATCAATTTAGCCTACATGTTACTATTAACTTTATGACAATTTAACCTTAGGTATTGTAACGGTTCCCCTGGCTAGTGTTCCCATGAAGAAACTACTRTCCGACTCCGAGATCACCATAGTACGAGACATCATCAAATTAAAACGAAAAAGCCGCCAATTAGTAGAATTGGGCGATAGCACCGCTGGTGAGACTATTCTATCGACCACCACTGAGGACGAAGGGCCTGAAATCTTTGATACCGAGGATGCGCTCACAGCTGAATCGAGTACTGAAACAATGTCTGAGATAACAGCCACAGATGAAGTGGAGAAGGTATTTTGACTCTATAAGACTTTGCCTTATTGCTCGAGGTGCTAMTTTACATTGAATGCGTCGATGTCGAGGAGCTGATATTAAAAAGCCTTAACTATCGTTAACTATTATTTATTATAAAACCTTAAGGTTTAATATTGTTAGAGTGATTGCCTATAGTATTGGAAATCAAAACAATTGATGTAAAATACTACAAAATGAAAATATGCGTAACAAGAAATTGTCTAAAAACCTGCTTTGAGTTATTCTCCAAATGTAGCCTGAAAGCCCGATGTGGGACTTGAACCCACGACCCTCAGATTAAAAGTCTGATGCTCTACCGACTGAGCTAACCGGGCGCCAGTGGATATAAACTGTCATTACTGCATAGGCTTTTTCTGATACAAAATCATGATGCATTGTGGTCTAGCCTCAGTACAAACAGCACAAGGTCGTCGCCTTCATTGTTAAAAATGTACTAAAAAATAAATAAAATGGTGGGGAAATAAATAAATAAACAAGAACTGCTTTTCATCATCCAAAATTAATGATAGCGCCCGATGTGGGACTTGAACCCACGGCCCTCAGATTAAAAGTCTGATGCTCTACCGACTGAGCTAACCGGGCATCGTTTCACTGTTATTGACTGCCTCCTTCAACGCTTTCATCT